CTTGTTTCTGTATACGTAGAAGACACGATCAGCTTGCAACAATGAATTACCGAAGATAAACATCATATGCCAAATATCAATATCAATCGACGAATTAAGGCGATTAATATATTTAGTAAAAGCGTCCGGCCATTTTTTAAGATGATGGAAGATGAAATATTTGTTGCAAGTAAATGATTGTGGATGGCTCAATGACATGAAAATGTTATTTTATTTAGTTTCTTTTAGTGGTTATGAATATTGAAATGTAAATTTGTAAACATAAAGTATGTATATTTTGTATATTTTGACAAATTGATGTACATCGTAATGCATTTTTATAAAAAAAAATGTTGTTTGAATATATATATATATATATATATATATATATATATATATATATATATATATATATATAAAACTCATTTCCATTTCATTGTTTAATACAACTAAACAATTGAAATGATTCTAAAAGTATTTCTCTAATGAATTCTCAATTCTACCATGGAAAATTTTTTTTTTCTTTACCCATCTTAATTCTTTTTCTTTTTTTCTGTGTAGATGGGGTTTCATTTTTCTGTACCAAACGCATCCTAACATTTGTCCAAACAATTATTTAAATACTCTAAAAAACTGGACTTACTTGCTTGTATCAAAGGAGAAAGAATTTAATATCGTGCTTTTAAAATGTCAAGCCCACAAGTTGATTCCCAAAACGAATATAGGCATAATTGTTTAAATAAAAGAAATAAAAGTGAAAAAATATACGTTTGACCATGGATTTGTTAATTGTATGGGCAATACGTTATATTTTGGGAGGATTAAGTGTGATGGAAAGATCACAGGGATCATTTTTGCAATTTTGTCTTTATACATTTTCATTAGTTATTTTTCTATTTATATAGGAAAAAAATAAATAAAGAGGAAATAATTGACGGCTTAGTTGTAATTATCGGTAACCAAAGGCTAGTATTCTAGAGGTAGCAACGTTAGTTATTGTTGAGAGTTAAAGTTCCTTTTGGGACATAATCGACGGACTGGCACAAGATGGGAATTGGGTTTTTGTAAAGGGTTCGGCAAACCTGCTGCTTTCATTTTTTTTTTTTTTTTTTTCCCTCATCTCTCCACTTGTACCATTTATCATAACTTGTACTAGAAAGAATAACTTTAAAGTATAAATTTACATGTGCTATGGCCTATGGGTTATGTGGATCAGTGTCAAAGAAAATAGAAAATCTTATATGACGTATAGATAACATGATAAGGATAGAAAGGATAAACTCCACCCTAAAATGTAATTCAAAAGTAGTGTAGAAATGTGTTTACCCTTCTAAAAAAATCGTAAATAGTAGTAAAGACAAAAATAAAAGGAAAATATGATAAATTATTTTAGTTGGCCAATTCTAGTAAAGACAAAAGATTAATAAAATAAGTTGCAATGTCCGTTTTATAGTGAAAGCAAGACAGAAACTACCCATACCAAAGCCCAAAGAATAATATGTGCTCGATTCTGTGGGTACGGTGTTAATATATATATATATATATATAATATATATATATATATATATATATATATATATATAATATATATATATATATATATATATATATATATATATAATGTTAGGTTCATGTGAGATTATTTAATTTTGTGATACCGTAAGATGTAATTATAACCACTCATTTATTAGATAAAACAAAAACATTTTTAAAATGCAAAATAATTGAAAATTTTCAAAAAAAAAAAATTTCCAATATTATTTTCGGAATATATATTTTCAAAAAAAAATAAAATACCAAAAAAAAATAAAAAATAAAAAACAAATACAGAAACAAAATACATTTTTTTTATATATTTTAGTAGAATATTTGGAATATTCTACATATCTGACAAATCTAGTAGAATATTCTAAACATTCTAAAAGTCATATTACAATATGTATAGTGTAATATTCTATTAGAATATTTCACGTATTTAAAAAAAATGGTAATTTTTTCAATTTTTTTTAGTTAACTAATGTTCCGAAAATAATAATTAATTTTTTTTTGGATTTTTCCTTTTATTTTGCATTATATATATATTATATATATATATATATATATATATATATATATATATATATATATATATATATATAATATATATATATATATATATATATATATATATATATATATATGAGAGGATTCACTTGAGATTAAAAAAAAATAGAGATTTTTATATTCAACATCAGCCACATATTTCTCATTTGCCGCTCTAACGCTCGAACGTACTGATGTATGCCTAATCATAAATGAATATATGGTAGAGGTGTAACACCCCATCTTTCAATTAATTTCAAATTCATCCCACGAACTTTGAAGTATGTCATTTTTGGCCCTTGGTTTGGAAAGAAGTGGCAAAGGGAGGCCCTAGTGGCAAAATCATGATTTTGAGACTTGAGTAGTACGCTGGGCGTACATGTGATTACTATAAGGGTACTAGGGCGTGACCTAGTACGCTGGGCGTACGAGTGCCAAGGTAAAACACTGTCTTTTAGGGTTTGGGGAGTATTTAAGCATCTTATGGACCATTTCTTCTCATCTTTTCCAGCCACCAAGCCTTTGAACCATTCTTAGCAAACCCTAGTCAATAAGAGAGAGTTTTGAAGCCTAAAGTGTGTTGTTGTTGTGATTGAATAGTAAGAAAGAGAATCAAGAAGTCAAGGAATGAATCAAGCTTGTAGATATGGGGTTATCACCATCTTGGGGAGCTTTTTAGAATGTATAAAGCTTCTACCTTTATGCTTGAATTGTAACATCTTGACTCCCAGGTATTAATTTGAAGTTAAATTTCACATTTTTAGAACCTACATAAAAAGATGTTCAATAACAATTTTATAAACTAGATTTACTGTATTTTTGCATAAAAAGATAATTTTTTTTCCAATATTATTTTCGGAATATATATTTTCCAAAAAAAAAAATTTAAAATACCAAAAAAAAATACAAATACAAAAACAAAATACATTTTTTTTTTATATATTTCAGTAGAATATTTAGAATATTCTACATATCTGACAAATCTAGTAGAATATTCTAAACAATCTAAAAGTCATATTAGAATATGTATAGTGTAATATTCTATTAGAATATTTCACGTATTTAAAAAAAACGGTAATTTTTTCAATTTTTTTTAGTTAACTAATGTTCCGAAAATAATAATTAATTTTTTTTTTTGGATTTTTCCTTTTATTTTGCATTTTATATATATATATATATATATATATATATATATATATATATATATATATATATATATATATATATATATATATATATATAAGAGGAATATGTGGCTGATGTTGAATATAAAAATCTCTATTTTTTTTTAATCTCAAGTGAATCCTCTCATATATATATATATATATATATATATATATATATATATATATATATATATATATATATATATATATATATATATATATATATATATATATATATATATATATGAGAGGATTCACTTGAGATTAAAAAAAATAGAGATTTTTATATTCAACATCAGCCACATATTTCTCATTTGCCGCTCTAACGCTCGAACGTACTGATGTATGCCTAATCATAAATGAATATATGGTAGAGGTGTAACACCCCATCTTTCAATTAACTTCAAATTCATCCCACGAACTTTGAAGTATGTCATTTTTGGCCCTTGGTTTGGAAAGAAGTGGCAAAGGGAGGCCCTAGTGGCAAAATCATGATTTTGAGACTTGAGTAGTACGCTGGGCGTACATGTGATTACTATAAGGGTACTAGGGCGTGACCTAGTACGCTGGGCGTACGAGTGCCAAGGTAAAACACTGTCTTTTAGGGTTTGGGGAGTATTTAAGCATCTTATGCACCATTTTTTCTCATCTTTTCCAGCCACCAAGCCTTTGAACCATTCTTAGCAAACCCTACTCAATAAGAGAGAGTTTTAGAGCCTAAAGTGTGTTGTTGTTGTGATTTAATAATATGAAAGAGAATCAAGAAGTCAAGGAATGAATCAAGCTTGTAGATATGGGGTTATCACCATCTTGGGGAGCTTTAGAATGTATAAAGCTTCTACCTTTATGCTTGAATTGTAACATCCTGACTCCCATATATTAATTTGAAGTTAAATTTCACATTTTTAGAACCTACATAAAAAGATGTTCAATAACAATTTTATAAACTAGATTTACTGTATTTTTGCATAAAAAGATAATTTTTTTTTGTAGAAACGAAGTATATAGGCACATGTATTCAACCCCCCCCCCCCCCCCCCCAACCCTGGAAATAATTAGAAATATTAAAAAGTGGTCATAAGCACTCACCCTTAAAGCGTGAGTTCCATTTGTTTGTATTCGTTTATTTTTTAGATACTTGTCGTGAGAAACCGCAAATACACGTGTCTTGGACTTTGAAATATTTGGGACCGTTTTGTAACAAGTTTAAGCTATTGGGGTTATTGGGTAATTTAGTTAGCCAAAATAAGACTGTCTTGGTTAAAGTAAATAATGAGAGGGGCTGAAATGGTTATTTTTAATCCAAGTTTGAAGATTGCGATTTTGAAAAATTACCTAAGGAGCGGCTGTTTTGAATAAATGAGTTCAATCTTTGCGGTTGGGACTCATTTTGAAAAAAATGATTTAATGAGGAGGGGGGTATTTTGGTCATAACTTAAACAAATGGGGTTTGTTTTGTTCATTTCAAAAAGTAAAAGAAATTAGGGCTTTTCCGTCCCCGTTTCTTATTTGTACGATTAAAGGAAGGGATATATGAATGAAGCAGATAGAACGCGTAGGCAGGCAAGAAGCAAACACGAAGATACTTGCGAAAGAAAACGAGAATGGCTGCGAGGTCTGATGGGGGTCGTCATCTAGCAAAGAAGTTGGAGCGCCTCTGATGCATGAACCGAAGAACAGAAAAATCCGAGGGTTGGTTCGTCGGTCTCAATGGGCGTTGCGATGAGATGCGAGGCCCGCTGCTCCGATGGAGCAATCAAACGACGACAGCATCTCCGGTGATGAGGCATCCAACGGCAGTCCAAGAAGGGTGGTGCGATGAAGCTACTACTCGTCGATGGTGGAGACATGTGAGTGGACGGGGCTACTCGGGCTGTTCAGGCAAGAAGCAAACACGAAGATACTTGCGAAAGAAAACGAGAATGGCTGCGAGGTCTGATGGGGGTCGTCATCTAGCAAAGAAGTTGGAGCGCCTCTGATGCATGAACCGAAGAACAGAAAAATCCGAGGGTTGGTTCGTCGGTCTCAATGGGCGTTGCGATGAGATGCGAGGCCCGCTGCTCCGATGGAGCAATCAAACGACGACAGCATCTCCGGTGATGAGGCATCCAACGGCAGTCCAAGAAGGGTGGTGCGATGAAGCTACTACTCGTCGATGGTGGAGACATGTGAGTGGACGGGGCTACTCGGGCTGTTCAGGCAAGAAGCAAACACGAAGATACTTGCGAAAGAAAACGAGAATGGCTGCGAGGTCTGATGGGGGTCTTCATCTAGCAAAGAAGTTGGAGCGCCTCTGATGCCTGGACCGAAGAACGGAAAAAAACCGAGGGTTGGTTCGTCGGTCTCATTGGGCGTTGCGATGAGATGCGAGGCCCGCTGCTCCGATGGAGCAATCAAACAACGACAGCATCTCCGGTGATGAGGCATCCAACGGCAGTCCAAGAAGGGTGGTGCGATGAAGCTACTACTCGTCGATGGTGGAGACATGTGAGTGGACGGGGCTACTCGGGCTGTTCAGGCAAGAAGCAAACACGAAGATACTTGCGAAAGAAAACGAGAATGGCTGCGAGGTCTGATGGGGGTCGTCATCTAGGAAAGAAGTTGGAGCGCCTCTGATGCCTGGACCGAAGAACGGAAAAAAACCGAGGGTTGGTTCGTCGGTCTCAATGGGCGTTGCGATGAGATGCGAGGCCCGCTGCTCCGATGGAGCAATCAAACGACGACAGCATCTCCGGTGATGAGGCATCCAACGGCAGTCCAAGAAGGGTGGTGTGATGAAGCTACTACTCGTCGATGGTGGAGACATGTGAGTGGACGGGGCTACTCGGGCTGTTCTCGTGTTCTTCTTCTTTTTTATTTATTTATTTATTATTATTTTTTTTAATTGAAATCAAAGGAGGAACAATTTTGGTTTACGATGTTTGATAGGGGGAGAGGCAGCTACGAGAGGTGAGAAGGGCAAAAATCACGAGCCTGCTGCCTCCATGTTCATTGGGAGGAAACGACACCTCCGATGAGGAGTTTCTGGCAGCAATCGATGAAGGAATAACGCAGCAGCAAAAACGACTCTCAGGGATTTTTGGATTGTTCGATTGACAGGAAGTTTAAGAGCAAAAACGAGATTGGTTTTCATTTTTGGTTGATTCATCTGGCAGGAAAAGGAAACACGTTTCTGAATATTTCCTTTGTGTGTGGTTGAGTATATGCTCTCTGTGTGTGATTTAATATTTACTTTGTGTGTGATTGAGTGTAAATTGAAAGAAGCAACACTCATGAGCTGTACAATAATTGGTAGTGTATAAGTTTCATTTTTGTTTGGCTGTTAATGTTTTGTGTAGTGTATTGGTTCAACCATTTATTGGTTTCATTATGTAAGTAATGTATGTGTATTGATATATATTTTTTTAATAGATTATATATAACACTTTTTGATTTAAGAATATCGTGTGTATTTGTTTGAGACATTTTAAGGCAATAATATATACACAATATTTATACACTATCATCCTAAAAGTTATTATGTATGTTTGTGAGATATATAAAGGATTCGGGATTTGTACATAATCAATGTCTAAATTGTTGTATATAGTGTGAATTGGTATTTGAAAATATTACATGTTATATAATTTTAATTATATATCATATATATGTTTTTGTTGTATATACTGTGAATTGGTATTTAGACAAATTACACGTTATATAATTTTAATTATATATCATATATACATTGTGACTATACGATTGACTATTTGTCATATGTAATATGAGTTTATAAAAATTATAACAAATAAATAATAGATTTTTAAAAAATATGTTCCCCATACATATATGTAGATAGATGTACATGATTTTAGAAAGTTTGAGTTATCTCTTCTTTAAAATTCACAATAACATGATTGGATAATAATATATTATTTCTAGAATATATTGCCAATAATTGAAATCATATTGAAATCAATAGTTTAAAGTTTCACGATTTACTGAGTCAAACGTCTAATTTTTCAACTTTATAAATATTTTTACTAAAAATATTTCTATTATGAAATTAAATATTAGACTATATGATCTGGATCTAAAAACACTTCGAAATATCCATTTGGGGTGTGCAAGTCCTTCAACGGATAGAAACAGTTTTAAGAAAATCAGTATTATATTGATTTTGGATTCATAAAACGGTCGTATCTTTTGCATATGAACTCCGTTTTAGACATTTTTTTTATATTTTTAGAAACATGGAAACATGTACTAGAAGACTGGAGCTCAGTTTTTCAGACGCATTCATAAGGTTGCAGTTTGAGCTGTTTAATTTGTGTCAGATTACATATTTGGAAGTAAAAATATCATCCGGTGTAACATCCCAAAAATATGATCCAATAATTTGATTTTTAATTTAAATAAAAACATTATCCATACAACCCAAATAAAAATAAGTATATCAAACATCATAACAATTGTGACAACCCGAAATTTCCATTATGTACAAACTATATCACTTCAATAGAAGTTATAGCAGTCATAATTAATTTTCAGACTTCTCGCGTAAGTTTGAGTAATTCAGGATTTACACTTCAGGAAATATCAGGAGAGTGGGTGCACTAGAGTTTTGTGCAACACTGTTATTCCAACACTCTATTATATTAGAGATCATTCCAGGAATAAAAATATTTTCTGCCAAAAATATCTCAGGACTATAAATACAATTCTGAACCAAATTCATTCATTATTCACATTTCCAATTAGAAAAAAGCCATTTTCTCTCTCACGGATCTTCGGGTTTTTATACCAAAACGTGAGTAACTCTTTCTAGTAGTGTTAGAAAGCTTATTATGTGCTTATAACATGATTTAGATGGCTAAATCATTAGATCTAGGAGTTTACTCCCCAAGGTGTTCTTGGGCGGTAAACTCCCGAAACCGAGCCTAGATTGAGCAACTACCTTAGACTCATATGTATGTGTGTTAGGGACAAGAAAACAACCAAGAATCACCCAAGTTTGGGAGTTCACGGCCCAAGAGTTTCTTAGGCCGTAAACTCCCTTTTCAAACTCAAAATGGTGTTTTAAGGCACATAAAGCTTTAAGACTATTATCAAGAGTTGTCCCCATTTAATCAAAGGCCTTAAGCACATCAAAATCACTTATCAAAGTGAGTTTACGGCCAAGGCTTTGCTCTTGGGCCGTAAACATGAAAGAATGGCACCAAAGTGTGCCTAATGTCTTCATATGCTTGGAATAAAAGCCTAGAACCAATACCACTTGTGCATGAGACTTGAAATCATCCAAAACACCCATACTTAAGAGTTTATGGCCGTAAACTCTAAGGGGAATGGCCTTAGGGCCGTCAACTCCTAAATGGAGTGTTTCTAGGCCTTAAACCCTTCCAAGGACTTAACCACCAAGTTGGAATAATTCTAGGAATCATTTGGGACTTCAAAACACACCATACACCCTTGGTTGGGAGTTTACGACTATAAACTCAAGAGTTTACAACCGTAAACTCCATGTGTGTTAGTATATGAGGAGTAAACTCATATATGGGGTCTTTTGAAACCCTAAAACACAAGTGCCTTGTCCCACATTAGCTTAGATGCAATCCTTAGGGCCTAAAACACTTATATAAAGTGTTTAATTGTGTCCAGGATGTCTTAACATTATCAATTAGTGATTTAAGTATAATTGAATGCATATATGTGTGATTATATGTTCATTAGGATCGTAGTGTGTCTACAAGTCCTCGCTTGACACCTAGCAATCCTATACCGTTCAGTTCATCCCAATCACCAACTACAGGTGAGTTCATACCCCTAATCAATGTTTTAAATGATTTTAAATGCTTTAAAGGGGGGGGGAATACAAGTAGAAACAAACATGTTATTAATGTTGGGTTTTAGCCATAAGAACTTTCCTATGTGCGCATGCAAAACCCTAATGCTTGGATCTAGTCTTTCTAATAAACATGCTTTTGAATCTAAGACTTCTAATGGCTAATTAGGTTAAACAACAACATTAATACAGATCTAGAATCATACCTTTGAGTTCCTTGTTGATCTTGTTGTCTTGGAGCTTCTAGAGTCACAATTGTCACTCCTCTAATGGTTTACAAACACCAATAGCAAGCAAGATGATTTAGGAGAGAGGAGAGGGGATGGAATTCGGCCAGAGGTTCCTTGCTTTAGGTTCTGAAAGGTTGTACACGAATTCCACATCCCAAGGGCCTATTTATACCTTTAGACTCCTTAAGGGTTTCACCCTAAACCCTAATTGGATAATCTTCACTTAAGGCTATCCAAATCCATTCCATAGATATCCTTATGGACGATTTTGAGCTATCCTAAAGCTCCTAGAATCCGTCCAAGGTCCATCCTAATGGATTTACAGTCTAAAGTCTAACTATCAAACAATTGACAGTTTATACCCTCTTATTTAATTAATCTCTTTAAGTCACCAAATTAATACCAATTAATTTATGACTTATATTAATCAAATAGCTAAATATTATTCCTTATAATATTTACTCTCTCTTAACAAATCATCCTTCAAGTTGCTATGGTGAAGGCAACCCAAAAGGACCATGCACCACCGAATATAGTTATAGCCTTAGACACTATTCCAACAGTCTCCCACTTGGATAAGTCTAGTAACTATACAAGTACAATTCGGTTTGCAATCGTAGCTCTCAAAGACGCTGTCAACTCTGATCTAATCAATCTTGTCCTTTAGATAAGGGATCGTACAGTCCTCTGTTAGATATCATGCTGACAATCCTATGGAATGGTTAGTCTAGCATTTAGATTTCTCGATCTTCGATTTATTTGACATAGAACTTAATCGAACACATCAATTCAGTTCTGACCGGGCCCGGCACATAAGTCAAATCAAATCATCGAGTGGCCAAGATATCTCTTCTACCCTCTTAGGATAAAATTTACAGATAAACTTCGACTTATATGCATTTACTTATTCATTAACCAACTATACACAACAATGCGTTTTATAACATCAAGTTACTGATGCGTTTTCGCATTATCAATGCACAATCAATTAACAAATAATAAACCATATATCTAGGTTTTAAGACCATATGATATTATCGTCTTGCGATCACCTTTTATATCGTATTCCATAAGGTGATTCCAGCAAGCGCGGGTTTATTCCAATGCTCAAAACCAGTTCGTAAGCACTCATGAACGTTGCAGCAACTCTTGCTATGTCTAACACCATTTAGACACTCTACACACCAATTCACGACAATCTTCATTCATATCTACTCCCAACATATGAACGATTGTGGACCATTTGAATAATTCGATTATTCCTAATAAACTCAATTATTCTGGAAGTCAAAACATGCAAAGTGAAACAATAGTTAAACAACTAACATGTGATAGTAACTTTACTCATAAATAAAACTTCTTTATTTAATCATCAAATGTTAATTACATTTATCTATTATACGTTTCTAATACTATCTAATCTATGCTAATATCATCCTTCAGCCCAATACTCCTAGCATGCTGTAAGTGCTTAACCCTACTCAGTCCCTTCGTAAGCGGATCTGCTGGGTTATCTTCTGATGATATCCTCTTCACTACGAGTTGTCCTTCTTCTACACGATGTC